GTGCCTGCGGCGTCAGGTTAACCGCGACGTCACACTCTGCGGGCTCGCCAGAGACCTCCAACACCACGTCCAGACCCTGTTTGGCGGAGGACCCGTCGGGCGACTCGTCCAGTCGCTCCAGCAGCTCCGATGGACCTGGCCCACATTCGGCATCATGTACGATGACTGGGGCTGCCCGATCAGCTGGCTGAATCTACCCCAAAACGCCTTCCTGCACATGCTGCGGGCCTCACAACGCAGGGCATTTCTGCGCAAGATCAAGCCACGGCGACACGACCTTGGCTACCTCGCCTCGGTCAGACAGGGCCTTGACCTCTTCGCCAGCACGTGGCTCGCCCGAACCAAAGGAGCAGCCAAATGCACTGCCTGGCAGCTGGCGCTCCTCCTAAACTACCTGTCGGGCGGGGACCACACCCAACAGCGACGATCCCGATCCAACGCGTCGGCAGACTTCAGCCCCATGTGCCGCTACTGCGACGAGGAAGAGGAAACTCAGGAGCACACTGTCCGCGACTGTAAGTGCTGGGCCCGAGAAAGAGTTCCTCTCACCACCCTCATCAGTGACGACCAGTGGGCCCGTCTTCCGCCGCACACAAGACACTGCGGGCTCTTCGACGAAGACCCAGCCCTCCTCGACCTGCAGGCCGACCTCGCGAGGGACCCGCTGCCACAGCCCATCCCGCGGCCCCCCCCTGAGGGTGATCCTGCGGCTTCAGCCCAGGACACCTACACCACCTACCTTGACAACGACACTGGATGGACATGGGTCTATGCTGCCACGGACGGTGCGTGCACCAACCAAGCCATCCCACTCCTAGCACGAGCGGGCTACGGCGTCTACTACGGCATCGACCACCGCATGAACTACAGTGCACGCGTTCACGGCCTAACGCAGAACGCCCAGGTTGCGGAGACCCTTGCCATCGTCCACCTGACGGCGTGTGCCGAACGGCCCGTGCACGTCTTCGTGGACAACCAGGCGGTGGTCGATGGGTTTCAAAGCATCATCGACGGACATCCAGCGCCGCAGGGCACGCACGCGGAGCTCTGGGCAAGGATTCACAGATGTGTCATGGCCAAGCCCGACATGTTTCGCGTCGAAAAAGTCGCCAGCCACCTGGGAGACCTGGGCATCGACCGTGGGCTCATCGGGCCCATCGCGGAGGAGTTCAACCGTCAGGCCGACGCCCTTGCCACAGCGGCGGCACGCACGCACAACCTCTCCGACGACATCGTTGAAGCTGCCAAAACACGACATCGCCAAGCGACCGTGCTCCACGGGGTCGCTGTCGCCATCTACGAGCGCAGACACCGTACTCTGCCGCTCCCACACCGCAGGGCTGGGTTTACAGCGGCTGAACTCAGCAAAATGGAACCAAACCCCCTGCTGTCGGACCAGGCACCACCTGCGGCTGGACCAGACATCCCGCAGAACCCTGACGAGCTCTGGGCCGAGGCACAACGGGCGATGTACGACGAACAGGAGGACGACCCGTTCGGCTTCGGCGGGGGACTAGACTTCCTGGACGACGGGCCAGCCAGCGCCAACCCTGCCCCGTCGGGCATCCGCACGACGCCCACCTCGACTCCGCCACCGAGAGCGGCACCGCACCCACACGATGACGTCGCTCACCTCCAAGACGCCGACGAGGACTTTCATGACCCCCTCGGATTGGGTGACAGCATAGACGACGTCCCGCCGACACCCCACGCTGCCGACGATGCCGCTCCATCGAGTCGCCACCCGGTCACGCGGCCGACCTCTGAGCCCTCGCACGGCATCATGATTGGCCCCTCCGTGCCACCAGCCCCGTCCCCCCACCAGCGCCAGCCCGCGGGGGCGGCTTCAGCCCCCCCGCAGGGCACTGAGCCAGTCAGACCGTCGCGCCCCGTCCACGCTCCTACTGTTGCAGGCTGCGAGGCTGCGGCTCCTCCGTCCTCATGGGGCGTGGCCCCAGCGGCTTCAGCCCTGGGACCGCGCGACACCCTCCAGTCGCCTCGCCACGGCGACGGCCGCCAGCGCACGGACCGCCGCACTGCGCTGGTCCACCACCTGGCCAGGCGCACCGATGACCTCGTCCCCGCCGCGAGGCCTGCGGCCGCGGGCACAGAGCAGCCGCCCCGCACCGACCGCGAAGCCGAGCTGTCCCAGTCTATGGCCGCTCTCCAGCAGAGGTGCGCAGCTCTCGCCGCCGACCTTGCCGCTGCCCAAGCCCGTCAAGGCCCTTTGCTCCAGCGCCTCCACCGCGCCGGTCGTGCCTTCGCCGAGCTGCTTACACCCCCGCCCGATGGTGCTGCGCCGCCACTCACCCTCCATGCTATGCTGTCATCGCTCCGCGGCGCTCCGCCTGGAGCCCCGCGCTAATCTCCGCCATTCTGCCTGCCCGTGTGCACGCGTGGCCCCGCGTCCACGGTGTCAGGGCGTGGGGGCGGGGGGTGCCCCGTCCCTGCGCGCCGCGCTGCGGCCAAGCGCCCAACTGGCGGTCTGCCAAGCCGCCTAGCCACGTGTCCGCACGTCGCCTTTCTTGTTGGGGCCTTCTTCGTCACGCGGTCTGACACGTGAGATCTTCACAGTCTGTCCGCCGTCCGTAGCTTCAGACGCAATGCGCCGGGGGAGGGGGTCTCTGCCCGCCCTCGTATCCTAAGGCTGCACCGCCGCCAATAGTGTTTTGCGGGTTGTCGCACCGCAGTGCGCCTCGCGGACGGACCCTGGTCCGCCTACTTGTCCGGTCTCTCTCTCTCTCTCTCTCTATCTCTCCCTCTCTCTCTCTCTCTCTCTCTCTCTCTCTCTCTCTCTCTCTCTCTCTCTTCATGTCATTCATTCTCTCTGTCTGTCACTCTCGCTCTTGTTCCTTCTCTTTCTATATATATATATATATATATGCATCGAATTCTTGACGCTTCGCGCATCCCCGCCAGCCCATCCAAAAAACGATGCCCAGGCGAATTGAGGTGATCAGGGAAGTGAGGGAGCATAAGAGCCTCCTACTAGGATGTCTCTTGAAAGTTGTTCTGGAGTCCTCTTGGAGCGTCTGGGGGATTCGTGGATGCCTCGGGGGGCTCTTGGGACCTCTTAAGTCTCGGGGGTATCTTGGGAGCTTATTGGAAGCGTTTTGGGCGCTTGTTGGGGCCGTCTGGGCGCCTCTTGGGGCCCTCTTCTCGGTGCACTCTTGAGGGGGTTTTCGGGGCGCTCTTGGGGCCATCTTGGAGAACATCGATCAAAGAAGGGGTATCCTTAATTACGCCCCCCCTCTTGGGGCTCTCTTGGGTTTCTCTTGGGGCTCTCTTGGGCCATCTTGGAGCCATCTTGAGGCCTCGGATGACCATCGGAAGCGAAAAAAGGCGAGAAAGCAAAACAACAAGTATTTCCCTTAGGTGTTTGAATGATTTTGGCCTCGTGGGGGCCACCTTGGGATGCTCTTTTGCCTCTTGGAGCCGTCTTGGGGCGGTCTCGGGGCCTCTTGGGGCATCTTCGGAGCCATCTGGGGGCAGCTTTAGGCTATCTTGAGCCATCTTAGAGCTCATCTTGGGCTCTCCGAGGCGCTCTTGGAGCCGTCTTGGGCCATCTTGGACGCCCCAACGCGTCGCGCCCCCCCCCAGGGGGGGGGTAGGGGGGGGGCAAGCCCCTCCCCGAAGGGGAAGAAGGAGGTTGGAAGAGGAAGCTCCTTAAAGCACCTACGCCCAGAGGGCTGGTGGGATTTCGATGATGATTAAGTTTTCGGGGGGCGTCTCGTTCCTTTTCCTGGGCCGTCGCCGTGGCTGGATTATCATCGGCTTGCTTCGAAAAAACCGTTCGACCCCAGGGTGCGACACTTCGTCCGGGGGCGCGCGCGGCCCCGGGGCCCCGGTTGCACTCCCGCGACGAAGCGGTCCGATACACGACGGGATCGCTGTCGCAGGTCGCGGGCGGCGCGCAGAAGATCATCGGTCGGGCCGCGGGGAAGGGGGAAGCAGGGGGGAAGGGGGGGGGCGGGTGGGCTGCGACGAGGGCGCAGCGACAGTCAAAGCTGGCATCTACGTCAATGCCCCATCGCCCCCTAAAGAAGGTTTCGAGTCGGCACGTGGCGGGGCCTCCAACGCGAGAACATCACATACTCCCCAAGAAGAACGCGCCGCAACGAAGGACCAGTAATTTGATCCAACTGCGTTCCAGTGGGGGTTCAAGAATGCCCAGTGTGGCGTCAACACGCTATCGCGACCAACATCACTCACCATCAACATTAACGACCTGATGGTAATCACCATCATCACGCCGTCATCACCATCGCCAGCATCATCAGCATTATCGTCGCTGTCATCACCGTACTCGTCGTCGTCGTCATCATCGCCATCACCAAACAACAAAGTTCTTTGCGCATTTCCCGGAGCTGGACTCGCACGCCCCGCGTTGACGTCCGCTGTGAGTCACGCCCAGAACGGGCCCCAGAGCACCAGAGCAGCAGCTCAAACTATCCAAGACAAGCACCGACGCTACCCGGCGGGCCGCGCCCCGTGGGGCATGCTGCCCCTCGCCCTGGAAACGGGCGGTCGGCACGGGCGCGCAGCCCTTCAGCACCTGCGGGAGCCCGCGCGCGGGGAGGCGGCCCTCCTGGGCGAGGAGGCCGCGCCTGCCGCCGCCAGCGCGCTGGCCAGCCGGTGGGGCACGGAGCTGAGCGTCGCCCTGCACAGGGCCACGGCGCGACAGCTCCGGTCCGCGCTGGGCGCCGACGGCGCCTGTCGCGCGGCGGAGCTCCGGGCCGCCGGGGCGGCGTAGCAGCGCCGCAGCTGGACCGGCCGCTGGCCGGAGGTCGCCTGCTCCTATAGGGTTCGTCGCCTTTTCCAACGTGCTCAGGGGGTGTGCCTAGAGTGTGGCGCAGAGGCTTTCTCTTTGGCACTTGCAGGAGGGGGAGATGGAGGACGATCAGGGTCAGGAGCAGGACGAGGAGGAGGGTGCGGAGAAAGTGGAGCAGGAGGAGGCGGAAGAGGACGCGTAGCAGGAGGAGGGAAGAGAGGGCCACGAGTAGCACTGCCGCGGAGGGGCACTCGGGACAGGGTGGAGTGGCGCGCGCGCCTGCCCCTGACCTCGGCGCACCGCGGCGAGCCGACCGGCGCGTGGGCCGCAGGCGCGCACGCGCGCTGCGGTCGCCGATCGGCGCAGCGGCCGCCCTGCGGGATCGATCGGTCGGTCGATCGGTCGCTCTTCCATTTCCTGTCCTCATGAGCAACTTTTCCCTGTCGCGCCCCGGAGCCTGTTTTTAGGGCGGGTCGGGCGTTTCGCCTGAGACTTCCTCACCACTTATGACTCTGAAGCTTAAAATTTGGCAACCGCTTCGCAGATGGAGGGCGGGTCGTTTTCAAAATGTGGCTCTTTCTTTAGCGCAGCGCACGTTCGTTTTAAACGTTTGCAAGAGTTTCACGGATTGAGGTGGGTCGTTTTTTGAAAATGTAACTCTCGCTTCAATGCGGCCCAATCAGTTATTAAACAGTTGCAATAATTTCACGGGTTGAGGGCGGCTCCTTTTTTAAATGTGGTTATCGCTTCAGCGCGGCGCATGTTCGTTTTAATCATTTGCAAGAGGTTCACGCGTTGAGGGCCGTTCCTTTTCGACATGTGGCTTTCGCCGTAGCGCGGCGCACATTCGTTCTACGGGTTCCCATCATCAACGTGCCAGAATGTGTGTTTTGAGCGGATTCTGGATCATGCTGGTGCAACGGTTATGTTGATCTGCTGTGCTGAAGTTCCAAGAATGGCATTCTGGCGCGACTCAGGATTGTCAAAACGCATCAGTCAGGTTGATCCATGGCGTTGGAATCCCGAGAACAATGTTTTGGCATGTTCCAGGGTCTTCAAACGGTTGTCTTCCAAAGAGGTAGTTTCTTCAATGGAAATGAACCGCTGTAGGGGCCTATGAAGAGGGAGCTTAATTAGAGGGAGGGTTTATTTCAACATCGTTGATGCCTCTTTGGTTTACATTGGTCCTCTTCCTCCTCCTCATCCTCCTCCTCCTTCTCCTCCCCCTTTCATGTAACATCCCTATCCGACCCCTATTCCTACACCTCCTCCTCCTCCTCCTCCTCCTCCTCCTCCTCCTCCTCCTCCTCGCTTACCCGAACCCTATCCACATCCCAATCCCCATCTAGACCTCCATCTCACCCCCCCAGTTGGGGATATACCCCTGGAGCCCCGAAGGAAACGGCTTATATCCCCGTCAAGGTTTACAAATCGGGCAGTTCGGACCCAGGCCACTCCCATAGGGGATAAGGTCTGTTAAACGATACTCATCGTTCAGTTTCGGTAGCAATTCACGGGAGCCTTGTATACCGTCGTAATTATGTGTTTAGAGTGTACTAGCGTGGCTCAGCATCTGCTAGTCGATGAGATCGTGCCGTTTTTGCGTCGTTTAGCGTCGATTTAGCGTCGATTATGCAGCGTCGATGCGTCGATTCGCAAAAGCCGGCCAGATGGTATGGAAGGCTCCCATGAGTTGCCGCAGAATTCGCGCATTCAGAGGGCACCCGCCCAAACAAGTCGACTGAGGAACGCTACACGAGTTGACTCGACGTTGGCATACGAGTGTGCCGGTGCAGTCCCCCTTGGTTTCGCCAGATACATTCGCTCGTGGTTCCGCCCGCTGGCACTCGGAATACGATGCCGCCCGCATCCGTCGAGTGCCAAAGCAGCGTTCTCTCAAGGGCGTCTCGCTAGAAAGATGTTTCTGTCAATCCTCGACTCAACGACATGGGCTCTGCCTGGATTGCCCAGCTGAACGGCAGCGGACTGCATCTTCTATACTGCTGCCAGTTTTCTGTCCTCGCTTCTCGGATCGCCTTCTTTCCCTTGCCCGCCCTTCTCTTGCTAGCCGGTGCCGCTCCACACGGGCTCTTCTTTGCAGATGTTGGGCCTCCTCCTCCTCCTCCCCATCCTCCTGCACTCTCGACGGACACGCCGTCTCCTCCTCCCCTCCGTCCTGTTCTCTCCCCCCCTTTTCCTTCTTCCTCCTACCCCACCCTCTCGGGTCGGACGAAAGGGGGGGGGCAGGGTAGAGTTGCGACATCTGTTGCATGCAGCTGTTTTCGGCCCCACCGCCGGGCGCCTCCCTCGACACACTGGCGCCAGGAGGCGCACCCCACCTTCGTCCAGCCGACTCTTCCTCCTCCTCCCCCTCCTCCTCCTCCTCCTCCTCCTTCCCTCGTGCATTCAGAATCAGACCCATCCACCACGTCGGAACAGATGCGAACACCGCAGCCCTGTCGCGTCGGTCCCTCCTTGCCCTCGGCAGGCCGCCGAGATGATTTCGCATTTTTCGGGTGGCTCTCTCTTGGCTCCCGCCAATCCATAATCGAAGGGGCTGCAAAAGGGCCCCCAAACACCACCGACCACCTCTACCCCACACCTGTAGGGCGGAGCCCAAAGGCCAGGACCGCCATACAAGCGCAGGGCAGAGGCCCAGGTGCCTGGCTGCCCCCAGCCACCACCCGCAGGCAATGGCCAAGTCCGCCGCCCGCCCACAGCGAAGGGGCGAGCACGCACAGACAAATAAAACGAAATGAGTGTGAATGTGGAAAATAACAACTAATTAGAGGTAACGCAACTGGCCCCACCACTCGCCACCAGGGTCCTCTTCTGGGCGAGCCAGGGGCCAAGGGCGCGGCATGTGCAGGCCCTTAGGCCATGGGCACTTGCCATTCAGAATATGATATTTCTGTTGCTTGAAAACCTTCTCGCAAGGCTCTCCGATTTTTCGGGGAAGGCCCGAAGTGTAGGCCCCGCATCGAATGCACAAAACGGAGGGTACACTAGTCTCTACAATTCTGCACACGTGAAGGCTGTGCGGGGGAGAGACTTCTAATTCAACCACCTGCCTGAGGTTGGGGGTCAGGGCGGCACACGCACTCTTTGGGTTCTTATGGCGGAGGACGCGGGCACACTTGACTCACCTCCACGCCGAACCAGTCCAGAGCACTCGGTGAGGGCGGCCACTGGAGACAGCCATCGGACGAGGGACGGTTGGATTACGGGCTAAATCACCGAACAATTCTTTAGCTTTCGGGAGTTCTAGGAGAATATTGGCCTTACCTAAAGCTATTTCCTCCCAGCCTGCCAGACACACTTCGTACTTATTGATATCCTGGAGAACATCGGGCTGATGACGTTTCGCACCATCTTTAGCCAACTCATCGGCCTTGTCGTTGCCCGGTTGGTGGCGCAGGGCTACCCCCGTGAGCTCGCCCTTCACATGGGCCTTGACTTTTTTCAGACACCACTGAGGAACTGCTGAACGATCCTGGGCACGCCATACTTTGACAGCGGACTGGCACCTGTATTAGCCTTCCAAGGATCACGGTAACCTTCTAGAAGCGCTTCGCAATCAATGCGAATCACATACTCGACCCCGTCGGGGTCGTCCTCCTCTTCTGGCTCGAGGTGTGTGAGACCAGATAGGAGCGCATACACTTCTCCCAATTCCGAGTTCTGGGGAAGGAAAGCAGGAACATTCCCATATATGCCTCTGATGAATCCTCCCTCCTCGTTGACAGAAACAAAACCCCACCCAGCTCTAGAAACATAATCGTAAGTACCAACAGACCAAGGCCAATCGCTGTAAAGAAACTCGTTATTGTTGAAACGGAACGGCTCGATGGGCCCGTCAGGGCCGAGGAAAAATATGGTTCCTTCCCAGGGAGGTTCGTGCAGCTCGTTCGGCACAGGGAGCCACGGACAATTGAAACATGGATCCTCGGGTCCTGCCTCCAGTCCTGCTGCGGCCCACTCGGCAGGTAGATGCTTGGCTCGACGGTCGGCCAGTGCGGGGCATGCAAAACACCTGTGCCAGACTCCGTCAATGGCGCCGTGCACTCCGTCTCGGCAGAAAGGGCAGAGCGGCTTCAGTTGGTAGCCCCACTTGTGCAAGCGACTAGCCGTCACGAAAGACCGTGTGAACTCTTGCTTCATCGCACGTTGTTGGGGCTTGCTAGGACGCTTTGAGTTCCAGAAGGGCCTAGGGGGGTTGCCCCAGAGGCCCCGCTCCAATATCTCAGACTCTCGCTCGTGTTCACAGTCTTTAAGCCTGGCCTGCACACTCTGCTTCACGCACTCCGTACCTCGGTCCCTGACGAATTATTTACAAACTGAAACATATGGTATAGCAGAAAGAACACCTGGAGAACCGTCACGCGTTGGAGAACCGTCACGCGTTGTAAAAATCCCAGGACCACGAATTGACCATCCTGCTCTGGAAACCCATTGAAGCATATCCCCCAGAGATCCCCAGGCCAGACAGTTCCAAGACGCTTTCGGTCGTATCTTCTAGAAGCGGTGAACCTCGTTAACCAGCTTGACCAGGTCCCCAACAGCAACGCAGCCCCCAGGCCGAAGTTCAGATCGCCAGCACTCGTTCGCAAACCGAGTTAAGGTAGCGCCTGCATGCTTGATCGGGCACTTGCTAGGCTCCAAGGCTAGGGCGAGGTTGAGGTCCGCAACGCACGTGGTGAGACTCAAAAAGCCTGCAGCTTGTGACCTGAGCTTCCTAATCTCGCGGGCGTTCACCCCGCCACCTCCTCAACGTAAGTCGTGGCTGGTTCAACTAAACAAAACCAAGTCTTGGCCCTGGGTCCCGTTGGGTTTTTCAAAGTCCGAATCTTGGCTAGACGCTGTCTCCCTTTCCTCCACCTCTCCTTCCGCGTGGCCTCGGCCTTGGAAATGGATTTGGTCTTGCTAGGCGCTAAGTCCACGCCCAGGTAGATGATGGAATGATTCAACTCGCCAGCGTACTGGCCCAACTGGCTCTGCGCGAGCTCGACAAGCTCAGCGCTGGCGCCAGTGATCGCAAACTTGTCGGAGGCAAAGCTTAAGTTGAAGTGAGAAGACAGCTGCTCTACCAGGAATGCCATAGCCAGGCCCATACTCCGTACACAATTGCTGCTACAACGATCGTACATGTTCAACGAGAAATCATCTATGTGCACGGCTAGCGCGGGTCCGAAACTGAGCTCCAGGAAACGATTCACCGTGGGTATGCAGTAG